ACACACGCAAGGGGCTTACGGTGGTGTGAAAGCGAATGCAGTGCGAGGGGCGCCAGCCTCGGAGTCAGCCACCTTGAGCACACACTTGAAATCAGGATTCTTTTCTCTCTCTCTCTCTCGCTCTCTCTCTCTCTCTCTCTCTCTCTCTCTCTCTCTCTCTCTCTCTCTCTCTATCTGCCTTTCCCTACGACCCCCTCTCCCTTTGCGCAGGAAAAACTTCTGTTTCCTATCCAAGACGGCGACCCCACGGCCCGCGCGGCAGCAGTGGCTAGGGCGTGAAGTGGGAACGTGTGTCTGGGCGCTTGGAGGAGGGCAGGGGGGGAAATCCAACACTATCGCCTCTAAAATTGTTACCGTTCTCTTTTGTGCATGGGAATGGCCGATCCGGGCGCTAAGGTGGCCCGCCTTCCACGCCCTGCTCCCGCCGCCGGCTGGGGGCAACGGCTTGCCTAGAGTGTGTGGGGTGTGGGTGTGGGCGCGGGCGCGGGCGCGGGCGCGGGGTTCAAGTGGGCCGCGCCGCGAGCGAGGAGGGAGCCAGAGTATCGGGGAGAGCTAGACGAGCAGGCTGGCGTGGGGTGTGCGGCGAGCAGCGGGGTGGGCGGGGAAAAGTGGCTCTCACGCGGGCGCAATCACACACCGGCACACCGTCTCCTCTTCCTCCCCCTCTCCCCCTGTTTATATACTCGCTCGTGTTGAGAAGTAATTGAAACCTACGCGCCGCATCATTCTAACGTCAGCGCACAAACCATCATCTCTCAACATCCCCCTTCTCCTCTCTCTGTCTCTCTCCCACTCACTCTGACTCCGACGACTCACACACGATTGTGTGTCGGCGCCGGCCGTGCGCGTCACGCGCTGCTCCCTTGGCACAATGCTCCCGGGCCGCCGGGCCGCCAGCTTCTGGAACTAGTTAGCAACTGTGCCGAGTGCCGCGCGGCACCGCCGCACCGCCGCCGCCGCGCCTACGCGACCCTCTCCACCCTCCCTCCTCCCGACCCTCCGCAAGGAAGGGCTTACTGGGTAACCACCAACTAACGCTACGTGCGCGGGGTTGTCTTTCGGAACAGCCGCGAGATAACATTAATGACAGGACCGCTGTTGTTCGTCGCACTGTTACAAGTAGTCAGAGGCATTGCTTCGAAAGCCTGTGCAAAGGGAAACTTACAGGCTTCCCGGCAGGTTCTTCGTAGCCCGCAGTGGCACACTAAGCTCGCAAGTGCGGCCGGACGACGACGGCTGCGCGCCCCGGGGGGAGCGCCGTGGAGCTGGGCCGGCCCGGCGCGCCGCCGTGCGCTGCGGGCTGGCCTACCCCGCGGACGGCGGGCGGCGGCCGAGGAGCGTAACCGTCCCTGTCCGGCTCAGTGAGCAGGCTCGGCGGCGCGTGAGGCCGGCGGGCGGCTCGGCAGGCGGATAAACCGCGACTCCGCGGTCATTGTTTTGCTCCGTCGCGCTAACCGGTGATCTTTTTCTTCGGTCCGCCAGGCAAGCCCGACATGCCGTTCAACTGCACGCTGCTGAACCAGACGTCCTCCGCGCTCGGCGTGGAGTGCGTCGCGGGCTTCGACGGCGGCCAGCCGCAGCGCTTCGAGCTCGAGGTGTACGACGACAACGCCCGCCTGCTGGCCAACGTGTCCTCGGACACGCCCAGCTTCTCCGTGTCCGGGCTGGCGCCGGGGCTGGTGCTCAAGATGCTCATCTACGGCAGCAACAGCAAGGGCCGGTCCGAGCCCAGCCGCCTGGAGGGCTTCACGCTCAAGGGCGCCGAGAAGCAGACGGGTAAGTTGCTGCGGCTCTCCACTGACAAAATAGTTTTCCATGGATAAGAGAATTCTTCTTGAAAAACGGACTAGAAATTTATTTTATTTTATCCTTTGGGCCAAGGCCAAGAATAATTTTTCCTCGAATTTTTCTTGAATACTTTTATCAAAAGAATAATTTTGTTTCTTGATTAAAGAAAATATTCTTGCTCTAACTTAGACATTTTTTCTTAATGCAATAAAAATTGTTCTTGGCCCGTTCCGAATATTTCTTTAGTCCGTTTTTCATTTTTATTTATTCGCCCACACGGAAGACATTTTTGTACGTGTACAATGGGTGTTGTTGAGTGCACGCGACTAACGTCCCCGCCTCTGTTGTTGTAGAAGAGAACCTCCTGTCGCTCCTAGGCCCGCCCGAGTTCACGCTGACCCCTGTGCTGGGCGGCGTGCTGGGCGTGGCGGGCGTGTTCCTGCTGGGCGCGCTGCTCGTGGCGCTGGTGGTGAAGCTGCGCGCGGGCTGCTCGCGGCCGCTGGGGCTGGCGCTGGGCGGGGGCGGCCGGCACCCGCGCCCGCCCGCGCGCCCCGCCCAGCTGCCGCTCAAGGACAAGGCGGCCCTGCCGCTGCGCTCGGACGCCGACGACCACCTCATGCCGCCCTACTCGGACAAGGACGACCGCAACCCGGACCTCATCCCGTGCAACAAGGGTAAGTTACCGCTCACTTCCACGACCCCGCGCAGGCGCGCCGTCTTTGTTGAAGCGCAAACTTGGGGGGTCCGTGGGTGGCTCAAAGCAGCCTGGCAGAACGGAGAGCCCCCGAGCAGGAGACGCGAGGCACTTCCGCCAGCAGCGCGCACCTCCAAGTTCCGCCAACGCAGTCCTCACTTTCCCGCTCGCCGAATTAACCCTTCAGAATATCGTTTGGAGCGCGAGAGGATGACGCGCCGCGTGACCCGGCGGTTATGAGTTTCGGTGTTTCTGCAGAGCGGGCCCCCCTCTTGCTGCGCCCCCTGCGCCTGGGAATGGGGCCACCAGGCCAGGAGGGAGGAGGCGCGGAGGCGCGGCGGAACCGCACATGTCACAGGCGACGTGCGTGTGTGGGCGCCGTTGCGCCGCCCGACTATACACGCCGCGCAGCAGCACCCTACGCGCGGCCACACATACACGCACACACACACTCTCTCACACACACTCTCACACACACTAACATACACGCACACACTCACCCACACGCGTGTGCGTGCGCGCCCGCTTGGAACATATGGATTTACTGGAATGCCAGCACCTCCTAAATCAACGCAGACTTGCAAGAGTTGAGAGGCGGGCGGGGGTTGGGGTGGCGAACGGGTGACGGTGGTGGAGGAGGTGAGGGGCCTTCTTGGCGGGGGGCACGAAAAACCACACGGGGGTAGGGAGAGAAAGGCCCCCAAGACAGTGACAAATGAAGGAAAGGCGGAATGAGCGAGGCAGTGACGCCGGGGGAGGGGG